TTCATAGAATATATCTTACCATCAAAATTAAGCCATCTGTTAGTCCTACATGATATAATGATGTCCATGCTGTAAATGAAAGATTATTATATGTATATATTTGTTTTAGCTCAAAGAGCAAGAAACAGTACATGGATTAGATGGATAGATTACAAAAATTGTGTTCATTTCTCTCAGAGACAAAAAATGCTATTAAGAAAAGTGACGAAATTCCACTGGATTCTGGGTCCGAGCTCCAAGAATCTGAAAGACAGCGAGTCAAGAGCAAGCAATTTCATGCCTCCTATTCCTTTGGATACTGAGATGGGAATGTGTGGAGGGTCCAGCCCCCAAACCAAAACCAGAACACCAAAGAAGAACAATCAACCTCCGCAGGTGGTGCAGGTGAAAGTTGGGCATCTCATGGGGGACTGGGAGGATTAGCATCTGTAAAAGTCTGGGTGCAAAAGAACCCAATAAAAACATTTCAAAAGACATACAAATCTGGCTGTTGATGTGAAGGCACCTAGTTTTAAATTTCAGGAACCACTTTTGAACTTTTCAGCCTGGTGGTGGATCCCGACCACCGGGAAACTCAGCACCCTTCATGGAAGAAGTTTTTTTGGATCTTATAAAAGTGAAAATGAAGGCTATGCTGGCAGTTTCATTAGGGGCTTGAGGACCTTAGATGCTACAACTGCCCCCTTCTAGCAAGTGAACGTCAAGTGTGACCTCTGTCCAGCATCACCCTGAGATTCTCTTCCATGGAAGACCACAGTTCCTGGTCATTCTCTTCCATAGAAGACCACAGTTCCTGGAGAGCAAGTGTGCCAACTGGCCACCAGGAGACACAGCCTGCCTACTTCCCTGGAGAAGTCAGGGGAGTGACCTCTGACCACGCTCTCCCTTCTTTTGGTCTAGCCTGGTGGTTCAGAGCCCCAAGGAAGACAGAGAGCCTGGAAGCCCCTGGTGTGCATTGTAGCTGGCCTCCCAGGGCAGAGGGAGGGGTGCAAAAGGGTGGGAAGTCAGGGGGCAGCCAAGAGCAGAGGTCCCAGCAGATGGTAGCTGAGAGAGGTGTGTGGGTGCTGCTCCGACCTTGGGAGTCACTCTATCTTTGCAAAAAGGCAGAGAAACCAACATCAAACATATAACCATGCAAAACAGATTGTCTTCACAGTGAAATCAAACTGATCAAAGAACCACATCCTTACTATGTGACACAGGATTCTGAATGCCATGTTCATGGCCACGTGTGCCCTCAGTTTGGGAAATGCTGGGCTTTGTGATCTCTAGGTTCTACCTCATATCCCTTGCCCTCCTCTATGGCAGATAAAAATATGGTAGTGAGATAACCCTTTCTACTCTATTAGAAATCTTGATCATAAGTTGGAATAGTCCAGGTCCCAAAACATCTGGAAAGAACTGGAAATGATCCCTAACAGTTCAGGGTCTTTCAGAGAATTACATGGGATAGCAACGTGATACTGTTCAACAATACATATGGCTTCCTTCGTGATGTGGGACACTTTTGCTCAAACTATAATCATTCTCTTTTCTCCATAAAAATCTGCACAAGGACCTGGGACTTTTTCTCTGGCTTCAGACATTGAAGATGACTGCACGGGAGCCACTTAGAAGCGATCACATTGGGGGTCTGCACAATAAAACAGCTTGGAGTCCGTGATGGATCCATCCATAGATGTTTATGAGTGTTGGGGTGGGTCAGACTTAAAAAAGTATAGGCTCCTACAAGCCTCCGAATCAATCACTACTCCCCCTGTCCCTCCCACACTGCTGCCCCATCTAGGGACTGATGAGCACCTTCTCCCAGACCACACTTGTCACTGACTCCTGACATACAGGCCTTTCTTTCTGCATTGCACACTAGCAAATCCATTTGTGCCTCAGGGCCTTTGCACTTCTGGACCACTCTCTAGGTGACTCTTTCCTAGATCAAAGTTCAACAAACTATGACCTGGGACCAGATTTGTGCAGCTGACTGCTTTGTAAAGTTTTATTGGGGTCAGTCCACACTCTCCATGAAGTATTGTTTATGGCATCCTTCACAACACAGTGTCATTCTGACAGACTGGATGACCATCAAAGTCAACCATATTTACTGTTTGACACTTTACGGAAATGTTTGCTGTCCCCTGCCCTAAATTATCACAATTGACTTTTTTTTTTCCCAAGCACAAGGCTTAAAGGAGCTGCCTCCCAACAGATGCCTCCCGCAACACCCCTTTTTCTTTCACATCTCCACGTGAAATGCCCCATGAAGCCTCTGTTGTAGGATTATCTGATTTCTTGAGAAAATACGGAAATGTAATTTTTAATGTCAAATTCCTCTCCTTTCCCACACATATTGAGAGAAAAGGAAGAAAACATTTAAGACCAAAATGCATATTCAGGCCATATTGTGCCAGCAGCACCCTGTGTATGAGCCCTGGCCCCTGGGGGCCAGTGCCAGCTCTGCTGGGCTCAGCAAGCACCCTGGGGTTCTTGGTCTTACCCCTGCAAGGACAGAGGGGAGGGGAGAAGATGCTGCTCTGGGCCCTGATTACAGCCAGCAACCAAGGGAGTGACCGCAGGTGAGTCCTCCTCCCCAGAATCGAACACCAAGAGGGCCATGGTCCAGGCCAGTGGAAGGAATGGGAGGCAGGCTGAGCTCCTCTGTGCAGCCCCAGGATGTGGTGGATATCTGGGGTTATCAGCACACTCAGCCCCCACCCATGTCCCCCAGCAGCTGGATGGACCCTTCCTGCCTAGCAATGCAGGCACCTGGAGCTCCCCCGAGATGGAGCCCAAACTCAGCCAAGAGCCACCTCTCCTAAAAGGCCAGCTCTTGTCCCTCCATCCCCCAGTCACTCTGCAACACTTTTATGGCCACATTTGGTTTTCTCTAGGACCAGGCATCGTCTGCAAGGCACGGGGTTGGCATCCAATCAACACTCCTTGATTGAATGAAGGGCACCAATGGAGGCAGGTAAAAGCCAGGTCCTGCTGAGACCCAGAGACTGTGTTTACAGCAGTGCAGGACCCAAACCCCAGGTCTCTCTCCTGCTCAGGGACTCACTGGACTGCAAGGTCATCAGGACCTGTTTCCTCTGTTCAGAGCAACACTGCTCTGCCTCCCAACTGTGCCCAGCACTTCCCCAGTGCAGGACACTCTGTGTGCTTATGAGCACTGGTCACCACATTCTGGCTAGGACTGTGGGGATGGTCTTCTCAATCTCAGCAATTGTGCCATTTCTTTAATTATCAGGCCAATGACTGGGTTCTCCTGATTAAAGAAGATAGTGCAGTCAGCTTTCAATTTTGAACTCATGGAAAGAAAGCTCTCCACTGGGCCTAGAAGCAGTGCATCAGCTGGTTTATTCTCCTAATGGAATTTTACCCTCTGCCCCAACTTGTAATTGAGACCACTCTTAATTAAAGGCAGGCCAGTTGGGCAGTGATGGAAACATCGCTTCTCACCTGGAACACTCTTGCTGGAGGCTCCTCTGTGCATGGTGTGACCGGACCCCACCTCCTTGGTACCTAAGAATACAGAGAAAAACTGATTTAAACCTCATGAGGTCAATTGGACTCACAGAGTTTAGGGAAGTAAGCCATGCGTGGGGGCCACACAGAGGGCTTGCGGCATGAATCCAGGGTGTGATAATATAGAGCTTTCTGCCTTTAGTAATTAATGGACTGAATCCTTCCAGTAAACAACACAATTTTCCAAAAATATTTTCAGGAGAAAACGTTCCTCTGCAATGCACATCTAGCATGTGACAGAGCCCAAGGGAGCTTTGAGCTTTAGAAGGAATGGCTACCCCATGCACAGCCCTAAGGGAAAGGGTAGCCTATTTTATTTTAGCATCAGCATCTCATGAAGAGGACCCTCGTGCTAACTTGCATGGCAGTCTCTTTTGCTCTTCCCAACCCTGTGTGAAAGATATAATGAGCGTCAGATTTCAGAGATGAAGGAGCAGATGCTCCATGGTGTTAACTTGCCTAAGGTCTCACAACCACTGAGAGCCCAGGAGAACATCCAATTCTGGAGCACCTGCTCCCTGTGTCCAGTGACTCTTGCACTTTATCACCTCCCCAGAGGGCCCATAAATCTGA